GGTGAAGAATTCTATAAATATTCACTGAGTTTACTTGTTCCAGGTCTGAGTTCAAGTCATAAATGTCCCTGTTAATTTTCTATCTTGTTGATCCATCGAATATTAATAATGTGGTGTCAAAGTCTCCCGTTATTATTGTGCAGGAGTCCAAGTCTCTTCATAAGTCATTGAAAACTTGTCTTATGTATCTGGGTGTTCCTATATTGGGTGCATATATATTTATGATCATTGACTCCTGTTGTTGCATTGATCCTTTTACCATTATGTAATGTCCTTCTTTGTTTCTTTTAGTCTTTGTTACTATTTTTTTTTTTTTTTGAGACGGAATTTCGCTCTTGTTACCCAGGCTGGAGTGCAATGGCACAATCTCGGCTCACCGCAACCTCTGCCTCCTAGGTTCAGGCAATTCTCCTGCCTCAGCCTCCCGAGTAGCTGGGACTACAGGCACGCGCCACCATGCCCAGCTAATTTTTTGTATTTTTAGTAGAGACGGGGTTTCACCATGTTGACCAGGATGGTCTCGATCTCTTGACTTCATGATCCACCCGCCTCAGCCTCCCAAAGTGCTGGGATTATAGGCGTGAGCCACCGTGCCCGGCCCAGTCTTTGTTACTATTAAAGTCTATTTTGTCAGAGATGAAAGTTACAACTCCTGTTTTGTTTTGTTTTGTTTTGTTTCTCTCCATTTGATTGGTGAGTCTTCCTCCAACCTTTTGCTTTGAGTCTTTGTGTGTCCTTGCTTATGAGATGGATCTGGATACAGCGTACCAATGGGTTTTGACTTTTTATTCAGTTTGCATGTCTGTGTCTTTGATCGGGGCATTTAATCCATTTAAATTTAGGATTAATATTGATATTTGTGAGTTTAATATTGTCATTTAATGCTAGCTGGGTATTTCGCCCATTAGCTGATATAAATTCTTCATTATAGAATCTATGTCAACTAATGGGTAAGTTTTTGGGATGACTGATACTGGTCGTTTTTTTCTGTGTGTAGTGCTTCTTTCAGAAGCTCTTGTAAAGCAGGCCTGGTGGTGATGAAATCTCTGAGTACTTGCTTGTTCATGAAACATTTTATTTTTCCTTCATTTATAAAGCTTAGTTTGGCTGGATATGAGATTCTGGGTTGAAAATTCTTTTCTTTGAGGATATTGAATATTGACCCCCACTCTCTTCTAGTTTGTAGGGTTTCTGCTGAGAGATCTGTGAGTCTGATCGGCTTCCCTTTATGGGTAACCTGACCTTTCTCTCTAAATGCCCTTAGAATTTTCTCCTTTATTTCAACCCTGGTGAATCTAACAATTATGTGTCTTGGGGTTAATCTACTTGAGGAATATCTTTGTGGTGTTCTCTGTATTACCTGGAGTTGAATATTGTCCTGCCTTACTAGGTTAGGAAAGTTTTTCTGAATAATATCATGAAGAATATTTTCCAGCTTGGATTCATTCTCTTCATAACATTCAGGTACACCTATCAAATGTAAATTCAGTCTTTTCACGTAGTCCCATATGTCTTGGAGACTTTGCTCATTCCTTTTTACTCTTTCTTCTCTAATCTTGTCTTCTCGTTTCATTTCATTAAGTTGGTCTTCGACTTCTGATATCCTTTCTTCTGCTTGATCAATTTGAGTGTTAAAACCTGTGCGTACTTCGCGGAGTTCTCTTATTGTATTCTTCAGTTCCATTAATTCACTTATATTCTTCTCTAAAGTCTATTCTCGTTAGGATTTCGTCAAACCTTTTTTCAAGGTTCTTAGTTTCTTTACATTGGGTTAGAACGTGTTCTTTTAACTCACATAAGTTTCTTATTATCCACCTTCTGAAGCCTAATTCTGTTAATGGAACAATACTCGTTCTCCATCAGGCCTTGTTCCGTTGCTGATGAGGAACTGTGATCCCCTGTAGAGGGAGAGGCATTCTGATGTTGGGTATTATCAGCCTTTTTACTCTGGTTTCTTCCCATCATTGTAAATTTATCCACCTGTTGTCTTTGTAATTACTGACTTTCAAATTAGGTCTCTTAGTGGACGTCCAACTTGTTGATTCCCAGCACTGGAATCTGATCAACCCACTGTGCCGGCTAAAACAGCAGTGTCAAGATTCTTGGTGCTTTTCTGCCCGGGAATCTCCAGTCTGGCTTCCCTCCTGAATCCCTTCTTCAATCAGCTGAATGGGCGACTCTGCCTTCGCGGAGCTCCAAACATCGACCAAAAGAGGACCCAGTCCCGTTTACTCTGCACTGAGAACCGCCGCGCTGGCCACAAGAGTCACACTGGTGACCCCTGGGGCTCCTCCGCTGGGAATCTCCTGGTCTGTGAGCAAAAAAATTCGTCTGAAAGTGTGGCGTCCTCTCGTTCTCTGCCCTTTCACTAGGAGCTACAAGCCCGAGCTGCTAGTGATCGATCATCTTGGATCTCTCTCTCAGAGAGTTTTTCATGTAGACAAGTACATCTGAGAATAATGACAGTTTTGTTTCCTCCTTTCCAATCCTTATTCATTTCTATAGTAGTCATAGAGTAGAACCCTCCACTAATAGGAAGTAGACAAGAGTGATAGGAACACCTTAATCTATCATTTTAAATCTCAGAAATGTTGAGATTGTTTCTTATTGCAGAGTAACACTGCCCGATCTGACTAACTTATTATGCTAACTTGTACCTCTGGTATAATGTCAAATAGAAGTATTGAGAGCTGGCATCCTTATTTTGTCCTAATTTTCAAAGGAATGCTTTTAACATGTCCTAATAGAGCATGATGTTTGCTACAGGATTTCTTTAGATGTCTATTATCAGCTTAAGGAAGTAACCTGTTCCTTCCTAGTTTTCTGAGAATTCTCATCATGAATGGTTGTTAAATTTCATTTATTCTTCTGGATCTGTTACTCACATATTCTTTTCTCCTTTAAACTGTTAGCTGGTTATTTATATTAGTTTTTAAAATCAATGTTTCCTTTCTTTGTTCGTTTGGGGTTTTGTTGTTTTTGAGACAGTCTTGCTTTTTTGCCCAGGCTGGCGTACAGTATTGTGAACACAGCTCCCTGCAGCCTCAACCTCCTGGGCTCAAGTGACCCTCCCACCTCAGCCCCCTAAGTAGCTGGGACTGCAAGTACACACCTCCACGTCTGGCTAATTTTTGTATTTTTTGTGGAGATGGGGTTTCAATATGTTCGCCCAGGCTGGTCCAGAACTCCTGAGCTCAAGAAATCTGCTTGTACTGGCCTCCCAAAATGCTGGGATTACAGGTATGAGCCACCTCACCTGGTCTAGTTTTTGTTGTTGTTGTTTGAGATGGAGTTTCGCTCTTATGGCCCAGGCTGGAGTGCAGTGGCGCAATCTCAGCTCACTACAACGTCGCCTCACGGATTCAAGCGATTCTCCTGCCTCAGCCTCCCACGTAGCTAGGATTACAGGCACCCACCACCATGCTCAGCTAATTTTGTGTTTTTAGTAGAGAGAGGGTTTCACCATGTTGGTCAGGCTGTTCTCGAACTCCTGACCTCAAGTGATCCACCCTCTTTTGGCCTCCCAAAGTGCTGGGATTAAAGGCATGGGCCACTGGGCTATTTAATCAATGTTGAATCAACTTTGCATTTCTGAGACAAATGAAGCTAGAATAAGCAAAATCATTATCATTTTCATACCTCCCTGGATTTGTTTTGCTAATGTTTTGTTTAGGGTTTCTGCAACTATAATCCTCAGTGAGACTGACCTGTTGTTTCCCTTTTCGACACTGTTCTTGTGAAGTCTTTGTTTCTCTTCCCCTGTTCTCTATTCTTTTCGAAAGACTGGAATTACTTGTTATTGAAGCATTTTGTAGAGATTAGCCAGTGAAACCATCTAGGCCGGGTATTTTCTTTGAGGAATGACTTTCATATACTGATTCAAGATTTTTCTTGTTTCTTTGCTTATTCTTATTGATTTAATGGTTATAGAAATGTTTAGGTTTTCTGTTTCTTCTTTTGTCTTTTTGTAATTTATATTTTTCTAGGAATTTGGCCATTTCCCCTAAGTTTCCAAATTTATAAAGTTATTTATAATATTCTCTAGGTATCTTTTTAATTTCTTCACATCCATTTTGATTCATCTCTAGTATTTTGATTACCTACGTTTCTCTTTATTGCTGTATCAATCTTCCCAAAGTTTCATCAATTGTATTAATGTTTTCAAATAAAGATCTTTTGGCTTTGTTGATTCTGTAGATTGTAGCTTTGTTTACTATTTCATTTCTTTCTCTTCTACTCTTTATTATTTCCTTCCATCAACTTTCTTTAGATTTATTCTGTTATTCTTTTTCCAGTTGCTTATGTTGGATGTTCAGCTTGTTTTTAAACCTTCTTTTCTAATAAAAGTATGAAAGATTATTTCTCTTTACATAAATTTTTATTTGAAGCCTCCAAGTTTTATTTTGTAATATATTCATTATTATTCTAATTCCATTATGATTTCATCTTTGAACCACAGATTATTTTAAAATGTTTTTTAAGTTTCTGAACATTTGAAAAGAATGCATATTCTCAAGTAATTAAGTTCAAGTTTCCATATTTGTTTACTGCTTCAAATTGTGTTGTTCAGATTCTTACTCATTCTGAATTTGGTTTTGTTTTTCTTTTTTCAATCTTCCTAACCTATTAATTACTGTCATGTGTTAAAATCTTCCATGTGGTTGTAGGACTCAACTTCTCCTTATAAAGAACTTCACCTTTCTGATTATTTTTGCCTCCATATGTTGAACCTATGTTACTAGCTGCAATCAAGTTTAGACTTGTGACATACTCCTCATGAGTTGAATCTTTTATCATTATGCAAGTACTCTCTAATTTCCCCTAAAGCTTTCTGCTTTAGGGTCTTTTTTGTTGCCTTAAAGTCTATTTTGCTCAGTATTAATATAGCTAAGTAATATTTATCATATGTATTTTTCTATTTTTGTACTTACATCCTTGTGTTTGGTGTGTATCTCTTGGAAATGTCAAGGAGCTAGTTTTTTTTTTTTTGTTTTTTTTACAAAGAAACTGAGATGTTTATTTAAAAGGGAAATTCCAGGGAAAGTACCCTGCTTTACCTTAGGAGCTGCATCCAGCCAAATTACTTACAGCATCAATATCTGCAACCATATGATCCCTGATGTTTAGACATCATGATCCCGGAGCCCTAAATGATCCCCAATCAAGAAGCAGTTAAGTTACATCTAGTACACTGTGTTAAGAAAGTCTATTTTAACATGGTTTTTAACCAATATTAAAAAAAGAAAAGAAAGGGGGCGGTTTCTGGCTAACCAGAAAACTCTGTTCCCTGAGCATCCCAACTAACTGAGCCTATGTTATAAAGAGACTGCTCTCTCTAAACAATCAAGTCTAGCATAACTCATCAAGCAGAAACAAAAGCAATCACCAACCAAAGGAAAAGATCCACCCCTTCTAACTTAAAACATTAAGATATTAAAGGAGTGATTTTTTTTCATTTTTAGAACCAATGTGAAATGTCTGTATTATATAGTCGTAGACATATTAGAAAAAAACAAATTATTAATCTTTAATTTTCTATGAAATTTCTAGCTGTTCTTTGTGTCAATTAAATATGAAAATACTAAATTAAGATTGCTTTAGCACAGGAAGAGATAGATAGATGTGTGGTTGAAATAATACAGCAGGATGCTTCAATACTACTAGACTGTGGGCTTTAATAATCCAGAAGGCTGGATGTTGCAGGGAACACTTTTCAAGTCCATCTATAGGAGGACAGGTTCTGCTACCATGGATAAACCTTGGAGTGACTGGTCAGAACTTCCCAATGAACATCTCAGAATTCTAGGTCTAACTCAGGCAGCAAATGATGTATTTTGGAAGAGGAGCAGTCAAATTTACTAATGTAATGATCTCAACATGTGACTACTCTTGAAAGAAAAAGAAAAAGCCTGGCAAAAGAAAAAACAGTAATAATAAAACAAGAAAAAATGATATTTCTGGCCAGGAGCCCAATTATTTTTCAAACAAAATTTTTCCAGAATATTACAAAAATCAATGAATAAATGAACTACATTGTAACTTTCATACTTACTCCATATGAAAGACTGTTTCTGCCAATGTGATTGATCTCTTCAAAGTTTGCAGTGCATTCATCCACGGTTAAAACCATGTGTAGGCATTGCGCTGCTGCTGTTGCTGTAATGGCTGCTGGGCTCGCTGCTGTCGTAAGCGAATTTGCTGGGAATAAAGGTCTTCCAGGGATTTTACAAATATGGTAGTTCTGGGACCAGCTTTACATACTATACCATTGGCATCTTTCACTGAAGATTCCACTGTAATGTTGTGTGTTCCAAGGATAGCAAAGTTCAACAGAAATTGAGTACTGAAGTAATCATTATGAGGTTCAACCCTTTGCTCCATCTCATTGGTCATGTTGTCAATGGGTATCTTGTAGTCTTGTCCGGATTTACTCTGCAGGGTGGAAGAAACATTCCGACAGACAGACTGAATTTTGCGAAAGAGTCCTGGTTTAGATCTGTGCTAAACCACTCCCTCTACCTTTAGCGCCAGCTGCTGGTTATTCTGGACAGCAATGGGCTCTGCAGGGTTCCGGGGTGATAGTGACAGAGCAAGCTTGATGCTAGTAGACTGTAGTTTCTGGAAAAAATATCTCTGGAAAGAAAGGGGAACTTTCAGCAAAGCAATGATGGCATTGCAGAAGCATGCTGTATGCATATAAGAAACGGGTATATTTCCGATTGAGTGATTCTACTTCCTCCAGGACATGATTATATACAGACATCATTCTTCTTTCATATTCACTATCAGCATGGGCTGTTCCAGTAGATCCATATTCCTGGAAACTTGCTGATTCTGGATCCAAAATCAGGGCTTCTATTGCATCAGTAAACAACTCTGCTGCTGTAGTTCGACGTTCCTCAAAGTTGCTGAGTCAGCATCAAAAGAGGCCTGGTAAAGATCCCCATATGGAGAAGCAAGGCTCCGAAATTCTTCCACGGACTGTTTCATCTGACTGGAGATTCGACCACACCTCTCAAGGTCATTTCCTAGGGTCATGGCAATTGTTGTGGCAATTGCAGGTGGGGGCTTGTCTTTAGGCTATTACAAGTACAGATAAGTTGAGAGAAGTCTTGTAGAAGGTCAATCCTGAGTTTTACAAGTTCACATTGAAAACTTAAAGGATTCAGTGGTGTACTAGCTGCTAAGGAAGCAATCCTTTTGTGATAGAATATTAAAGACTCAGCAATGCAAGAAAGTGCTGAACTATAGTTTTCCTCTTGCAACCAGTGAGACACTGCTCTGCATGTGAGAACTCCTTCAGACTATTTAGCCAGAAGTAGAAGTGTTCTGAGGCAAACTGAGTCAGCAAACTCTGATAAAGCTCTTTGGCCATGTCATGATTACCCATTCTGGAAGACTGTCTGGCAATACAGTATATAGTCCATCCATTGGAGACACTTTCAAGCTGCTGCTTAATCACTGCCGTTACTTCCACCGATAATGCCTTCTGACTCGCTACAAAATCACAGTAGCCAAACTCACCAGAAGTTCTTGTTGCTTGTCTGTGGCTGATCGTCCAGTCACCTTGTATAGCTCCATGAGGTCACCAAGCATCCCATCACCCAGCACCAGCAGCTGCATGGCAATGGCTGCCAAACAATGGCACATCAAAATCCAGGCAGCATCCTGAGCACTGTGCAACTGAGTCAACAAGGTCTCAACCACTACTAACTAAGATGGGGCCTGCCCTTGGCCAACTTCACCTTACAGTTTAGAGCAATCTTTAAAGTGGTCTGAGGACCTGGACTATCATCTTGACTGCAAAGTACCAGTGGGGATTCCAGGCCAAAGACAGCATCCTGTTCCAGTGCCAAAAGATCTTTTTCTTGACAAGAAACAGTTATATTAGTTAGGACTCTAACTCCATGAGCTGCAATGCCCCTGTTATTATGGTAACAGCACTCTTGGGCTAATTTGACTAAATCAGAAGATCTGGGAGAAGAACTCACATTTCCTGGAACTATACTGAAGTAATGTTTGATGGCGATGGTCTCTGATAGTGTGGAAAGGACAGACAACATCCCTAGTTTGAAGCTGTCATAAGGAGTCTGGAGGGCACACCCACAAAGTGCCTGAATGTTCTCCTTACTCCAAGTATGTGGTGTTTTATTAGCAAGTAATTTCAAATCTTGAATAGCAAGTCTCTTTACTGCTTTCCTGGGATCATTCTTCAAATACTGCAACAGAAGCTGAATCTGCTTAGGTGTATCAACCAAAGATGAAGCTGCAAGCAGAGTGAAAGTGTGCAAAGAAACGATCACCATTTTGGTGGATGGATAGGATGTGACCAGCTGTTGTAAAAGCTGATGAGCTCTGGAAGCCAGGATTGCATCATGGTGCATGTGCTGTAAGATGGGTATCAATTTTAGCTTCAAGTCTACTGGTGTCACTAAACCTTGAATCATTTCACTGATTTTGTTACAGATTCCTACAGCAAAATCCTTTGACTGTGCAGAGCAGTTTGCGGCAGCAAAAACAGCGGCTTCAACTTCTACATTATCATGTGAATCTAAACTCTGACGAATACTATAATGAGCATTCTTCCTCTCAGGAATGATTGATGCCAGACTTCCCAACATCCGGAGTGTGATGGCTCTTGCCACAGGATCATTACTATGAATTACAGAAAAGATTCTCTTCACAAATTCATCCACATTCAGAATCTTCTCCAAATGTTTCTCACTTTATTGGGTAACTTTAAGAACACATAGCCTCAGGAAATTATTTCCAACTCTGAAAACATCAGCTAACTTTAGAAATGCAGAATTGATAAGAACAGGGAATGGATACTTCTGAAAAAGCCTGGGAAAGCGAACACCTGCTTCACACTGTTCACCAAGTTTGCCATATCTTAGGCCTTTGTCCAATTCCACAAGGGCAGAGTTGGCATCCAGTTCCTGTTTGCCATAGCCGGCATCTGCCAGGAAAGACTTAGTTGAGTTTGATGCCATGACCCGAACAGTTACTCGACTAGCCTAGTCAGAAAGATTGCAAATTCAGCCCCAGGACCGCCACCTTCTCCTGCTGCCTTCTTGCTGGTTTTTCCTCCGCGCGCTCAAGGAGCTGGATTTTTAACCAGTGTTGTGATCACTAGCCCATGCAAATTAGTCCTTGCTGTCTTTTGTTGTACTATGTAGTCGCCTTTCTTACCTTTCTATTCTTTCTCCTTTCTTTGCTTCTTTTGAATGAATAGGTCCTCCATTCCATCCTCCCTTCTATTTATTGAAAATTACCCTGGCAGTCTTAACAAACACATTTATGTTAAGTTTCATCTTTTAAACGGTGATATGTTATACAGTGGGAAGTTCTGTATCAATTTCAAAATTTTGTTTCCAAAGGATACGTTATGACACAGGGAAAGGTTTATGTAGAAAAGTATGGGAATATATACGGTTATGACAGGTACATACATACACACAGCTGGTGCTCATTATTCCCAGCAGCTATATTCTATAAAGTCAGAAGCACTGAATGAGTGAGCACAGAACCATTGCTCCCAGGGGATTCAAAGTTAGGTTCCTGTGAGTCTCTCATCACAATGTTTTTGCCAACAGATCAATATATAACTTTGTTTGATGTGTGTTTATGTTTGAAGACATTATTTAATATAAATTGTTGATTACTATTGATCTCATGGCCAACAGTGCTATTACTCAGGATTGAATGCTGATGTTACACACATTTTCTCTGTGGAGCACAGTGCAGCCTTTGCATGTGTAGGAACACTAGACGGCACCTCAGCACCATGCTTGGGGCCTTTCTCAATAATAAAATTATCAGCAAAAAGCATGAAAATGCAAAAGACACAATACTCAGTAGGTCAAGTCTGAGAGTGTGATACAGGACAGAGCATTGCTTTGCCTCAGCGGGAGATGCTCACCGACACTGCATGACTTCAATATTTTTGCCACCCCATGCATGTGTTCAGATGCCCACCAAAGTTTTGGGGGCTACAAATAAAGTTTAGATTAGGCAAATTTGCAAATTCAGGACCCAGGAATAATGAGGAGTGTGTGTGTGTGTGTGTGTGTGTGTGTGTGTGTTTTGTGTCTGTGTGTATGTTAAATTACATTTTTAAATGTATTTTTAAAAGGACTAAAAGGGTACACACCAAATCTTTGGTATTTCTGGATGGTTTGGGGGTTTTGACATTTCCCAGATTGTAAGGATCATAAACTGACTTCATGTCCTAAGAAATGATTGACAAAAAGACTCAGAACGTGGTCCTGTGTGTCTTTTCTAGCCCTGCTTCAGTGACAAGACCAGCAACCTAGAGGCTTACGTGAAATGGTTCAACAGACTGTGTTACCTGGTGGCAACTGAGATCTGCATGGTGAGTGGACAGCCAGGGTGGGCACAAGCTGGCATAGCCCAAGGTGGCTACAGTCAGGAGGAGCCCACCAGGGAGGGAACCGGAAGGACACCTTGAGTCCTGTTCATTTCCAAGTCCAGGACCAGGCTGGACATGCCTCCAGGACTCAAGGTAACACCAGCTTTCCTGCTGTGACATTTCCCTCCAAGGAGAACCCAGGACAGATCCACCAGCCAGACACAGAGGGTGTCGAAGAGTTTGCTGAAGGAGTGAGGGGCAGTCACTCCCAGCCCTGGTAGCTCTGCTCCGTCCATCTGTGCCTGGCTGCCTTGGGCAGCCTGGCCTGCAACTGGCCTTGTTTGGCTTGCTCAGGACCTAGAGGTGGATGTGATCCAACCTTTAAGCATTGGGAGACACACATAAAAGCCCATGGTTCTAGCTGCTTCTGGAAAGCACCAAGACTTAGCAGCGTGGAGCCAGACGTGTTTGTCACTGAGTTGCAGTCCCACCTGGCCACACCCACCCATCCTCCTCCTTGCAGCAGAGGGACCCTCCTCTGAACCCACTCTCTCACCTTAAGATGAAGGCCAGGGAGCCACTCATCCCAGGGCCAGGCTGGAGGCAGCGCTGGGGCCAGGCTAGGCTCTCTGCAGCAGGTGCTGAAACTCAGCCTGGGGCACATGTTCATGAGGGATCCACACTTGCATAGAAGAGTAGGGGGAGGCGGCCCCACGCAATGTGGTGACAGACACAGTAGTTGGCCTCTATCCCTCCACCTGGCTCAGCCCCCATCACAGGGTGGGCTGCCCTTCAACAGACAGGTCCGGCCTTGGGTGAGCAGCTCTCTGTGGCCAAGGCAGCCCTGGAAAGGGGGTTTGATGAAACGTCTCAGAGCACAACAGCCCACTTTTTGGTAACAGTAAAGACTCCTGCTGCATGCTTGGTGGGCAAGCAACACCTACCTGTGTGGAAAGAATGCAATGCAGGCCCCACTGGCCTAACCCACTTCCCACCCTCACACCACTGGCTACAGGCAAGAGGGCCAAGCCTGGGCGAAGGCTGGCCTGAGCCCGCCAGGGAGCCAGCTGCAGCCCAGGATGGCCGGGGAAGCACACGGTGTGGTTCTGCGCATTGGAGGGGTCTGAAGTCCCGAGCACCTGGCAACAAACCAGGCAGGGTTTACCAGTCACGCAGTTGTGAGATGGAAAGAGTGGAGGGGCTCCTGGAGGGACAGGCTTCAGGGCCAGCTTGTACCCCAGTGAGGGGAGAAAGCCCAGGGCTGGTGGCAGGGGGGCTCTAATTTGGGGAAGGAGTGGTATGGGAGCTGGGCCTAGAGGGATGAGGGTGCTGGAGGGGAGCCATGGAACATCTCCTGAAGGTGCCTCTCAGCAGCCCCACAGCAACTGTGGGTGCCTGTGCCCCCACCGGGCCCACCTAGCCCTCTGTGGCATTGGATTCTGCTGGCCTAGCCCATGAAGCTCTCTGAGACCCTGTTTACCCTGGGCCTCAAGTGCCTCAACTGTACAGTGGGTTTAGAGAGAGCAAAGAGGGCTGGGGGAGGGAGCAGTCCTGGTCAGAGTCAGGGCAGGGTGGAGGCGTGTCACCACTGAGGCTCTGCTGCCCTGTCCCCAGCCAGCCAAGAAGAAGCAGAGGGCGCAGGTGATTGAGTTCTTCATTGACGTGGCCCGTGAGTGCTTCAACATCGGCAACTTCAACTCTCTCATGGCCATCATCTGTGAGTGGACCAGCCTGGTCCTGGAGTCCCCAGTGCAAGCACCCCCAAGAGATCAGAGTGGGTGCAGTCAGGCAGGCAGCGTGCCAGCCAGGGCCCATCTCTGAGCAGCATGGTGCGGGGGGTGGGGTGGGCTGGGCTGTCTGAAGGCCTGGGCAGCCCCATGTCCCTGCCTCAGAGGTCCTGAAGAGCCGTGCCTTCTAAGGCAAGCCCAGCCCCCTCAGGATGTTTGATGAGGGCTTGGTGATATGTCCCCAGCCCCAGAGAGAACAAGGGCCCAGAGCAGGTGCTGGGTACAGGACGGGACCAGCATGGTGAGAGCAGCCCCACCTGGCCATGATGTCCACCAGCACCCCCTTACCCACCCACCGTGTGATAGGCTGAGCCCTGTGGACCCCAGCCCTGGTCAGGGTGCAGTCCAAGGGGCTGCAGCTACATAGAGGCCTCCCTGTCTCAGGAGCAGCCCTCTCCAACCCTCCCTCCCTCTTCCAGCTGGCATGAACATGAGCCCTGTCTCCAGGCTGAAGAAGACCTGGGCCAAAGTGAAGACAGCCAAGTTTTTCATCCTTGAGGTAAATGAGGCTACTGGGCCGCCAGGTGCCTCCGGCTATCCTCTGGACAGAACTGCCCAAATGCCTCCCTGTCTCCTTCTAGCACCAGATGGACCCAACGGGGAATTTCTGCAACTACAGGACAGCCCTTCGAGGGGCAGCCCACCGCTCCCTGACTGCCCACAGCAGCCGGGAGAAGGTAGGTCGGAGGCCACCTCGGCCCAGGTAGGCTGTAGCAGGGAGCCTGGGTGCTGGCTCGGAGTTCACCTGCTCTAGCTCCTGCCCCACTGGAGCATCAGTAATAGACAGCCGAGCTGCCTAGGGTCATCCTTTCCTGGGGGACCATGCAAGTGAGACCACTTCATCTTCTGCTCACCAGTTCTTCAGAGCCCCCAACCCTCCTTCTCTCTTCTCCTTAGTCAACGGCCCCAGACCTGTCCTGCCGCACTACAGTTTCCAGGCTCCTCTCCACTTCGAGTCTTTTGGTCCTTAAACAGCTCGATTTGTCAAAATTTCTTCTGTTTCAGATAAAATTGCGGTTCCAGGTACATAGGATCTTCCACCTCCCTGATTATACACACAATGCTTTTATTTGTGTGGCCTCAGATCACATTTACATTTTTGGCAATCACTAAACCAAGCTTTTCCTCAGCCTGTTCACAGCTCATATTCTTTTTTTTTTTTTTTTTTTTTTTTTTTGAGATGGAGTCTCTTTCTGTCGCCGTACAATCTTGGCTTACTGCAACCCCCACCTCCTGGGTTCAAACAATTTTTCTGCCTCAGCCTCCCAAATAGCTGGGATTACAGGTGCACACCACCACACCTGGCTAAGTTTTGTATTTTTAGTAAAGATAGGGTTTCTCCATGTTGGCCAGGCTGGTCTCGAACTCCTGACCTCAAGTGATCAACCCACCTCAGTCTCCCAAAGTGCTGGGATTACAGGCATGAGCCACTGCGCCCAGCCACAGCCCATATTCTTATACACCTGCATTTGTGGGGCCTTTGCTGACCTGATAATTTTATTTCTCCTCCAAATTCTACCCATGGCCTCTGATACAGAGAATTATGTGTAGGTCCTGGGATTGCAATGATCCTCTGGCTTGAAACCTGTTACCATCCTGATGATTAGAGTTGTTCATCTCTATAGAGAGGAAACTCCAAGACTTGTACCTTTTAAGGTCTGTTCCACACAGGAACATTAGTGGAATCAGGTCCCTGCTGTGGTTCGTTGATGTCCGTCTCCAGCTTGAGGGATAATAGAACACATTGCTGTTCTTGAAATTAAGGTCCCGCTGGAATTGCATTGGATGGATGCCAGTGGGCAGGCTTGGGAAACAAGCTGAGGTGTGCACGCTTGTGCTGCCTGCCAGGCTTTCTTGGCCCTCTGCCCAAGGGGTAGATGCCAGTCATACAGATGGCTCTGTCCTGTCCAGATGGCCTTTCCTCTTTAGGATG